TCTGCTTTTCTGTATCAGCTCAGGTTTTTATGCCAACTCGATTTTAAAAAAATCAATTTTACCATTAAATCAGTTCCATTTTTTGACATTAGCGATTGATTTATTTTAGTATTTCTCACATGAAATCGGATTTCAGAGGACAAATTTCATTTTCTGATCCTTTCCATAAGCTGAATGATCCACGAGTTGATGAGCGTAAACATTTGTAAAGGTAAATACAAGTAAATTGCATGTTTCATCAAATCAAAATTTTGACCTCACTGAGCAAAACCAATGTCATATTTGGATTCAACGCATTGCAGCTGTCCAAAATCAGCTCAAAAAACTGTGACACCAAAATGGGTGTTATTCAAATTGGTATTGATAGAAGTGGTTGACTTTCTGTAAAACGACCAGCGGCAGCAGTGGTGGCAGTCATTCCTGTGTTCTGCTTTGTTTTATTTGGTTTCAACACAAGTCATCTGACCAACAGTCCCCTCCCAAAAAACCAATATGTGCACTTAAAATTTAAAACTCTGCATTATAAAGTATGAATTTCAATGCATCAGATGAGAAAATGCCAAAGCAAATGTCACGTCTATGGATAGCAACAGAGCATTAAACCAAACGCACAACTGCTTGACAACATGTGGACGCGGATCGAGCCGCTTTCTGCAGCCGCGGTGAAAGTTTCCTACATCACATAGAGGGACAGTTCATAATGTCTTCCTCAAGAGGTGCAATTTCGCCACATTATCAAGTTTCTAAAGCAGTAAGTGGCCCCAGATTCATAACTTTAACAGCACTTAAATAACATCTCTAATGGCAAAGCCCACTCCATCCGTCGACAATTCTACTTTTGCATAAACCCCCTTCATCGAGGATAGGCAGGATACCCGCAAAAAAAAAAAAAAAGAAGAAGAAGGCACAAAACAGGCTAATGATAGACAATGTTACACCAAACTCTTTCCCTTTCCTTACTCCCCTCCTCTCCTCTCAGCGGTAGCTCCACTGCTACCTGTAGAAGCTATAATTAATCGGAGAGGAAGTCATGTTGTTGACCTTTTCGCAGGTGATCATCACAATGACGAGCCCGTTAATCGGTCAGCCATCACTCTTCAACCACCACCACTGCAATTATCGCACAATCACTCAGTCGCGCACACTCTCGCCGAAAAGATGGCGCCACACGGGAAAAAAAAAAAAAAACCCATCTCGGAGCACATGCACACAGCGTGGATCTCCGCTGAGAGGAACGGGAAAAGCACCGGCGATATCAAAACTTCACATACGATTGACTCTGTTCTAACACGATCTGCTTCTAGCCGTCGTACACACATGTGCATATACGCTGCTCACTGTAAAATATCCTCTATTAGCTGCCTGCTCTCTTTCTCTCTCTGGGTGTTGTACCTGACTATTACTTGTAATGACCGTGACATTAAAATAATGATAAGAGCGTTTGCTAATGCTGCACTTAGCACACATGCACACACTTGTGCAGATGGATACACACACACACACACACACACACACACGCTCGCTGATTTTGTTCGCTGTTTGTGAAGTCAGAAAGTAGTCAAGTGCTTTCTCCTCAGCCAACAGCGTGTCCATCTTTGCGGTGCATGTGAGTGTGCAGCTGTGGTGGAGGCCAAGCGCTGTTTACCCATCTGTAAAAGTTTATAGCTCCATAGAAGGAGCCGGCGCGTTCTTCCATGACCACCAGTGTTCACAGTTATCCTCAGAGACATCATGACTTCAGGTTTTCCTCGCAGGCTGAGGAGTGTCACATACAGCAGCTGGACCACATCCTCAGGTCTGCTTTAAGAAAATAAATAAGAATGGGACGGGTGTCTTCTGATCCTTTAACATTGTTCTCAGGGTCGACAGCCCTTTATATTCAGAGAGCTAAACTTCATTTACCCCTGTGTTTAGCGACTACATTATTGACCTCTACCAGAGAGTAAAAGATGTTTAAAAATGCGGAAATTTGTAGCGGCTAAAGGCTGTAAAAATAAAAAAAATAAAAATAAAAATCAATTAATAAAAAAAAAATTTAGTTGAAAATAGCTGCAAATATCTATAAAATAATAATATTTTTAGCTAATTCAAATACAGTTAAACAGTAATTCTATAATGTCACACTGAGAAAACATAGATTTCTGTTTGCAAAAACTACAAATCTTTAATATTGAAATTATTTACAGTTTTGAACTTCTTTTTTTAACAGTTAACATGCAAAGTAACACTTTTTCTGAGATTTTTCTGTGATTTTATTAGATATTATCTGTAATTTAAGAAAACATGTTCAATATGTAAAATAACAGTTAAAAAATATTCACTATTACTCTTTTAAACGACGAAACGTGAAATAATGATTTTATTTTTTATTTTTTAACTGATCTAAATACAGGAGAACAGTGTGAAGTGTCTCCATTCGTAAAAATACAGTTTTATCTATAGTTTTATCCTGTTGTGTTACAGTCAACATATAAATTAAAAGCTTTTTCCTGTGACTTTACTAGTTCCTAGCTGTAATTTTTTTTTTTTAAATTACAGTTAAAAATTGTTTTAAAAACTGTAAGTTTTCTGTTTTTGTGATGCTCAAAGTGCTTTACAGGGATTCTCTTTCATCCATTCTCACACCTTCCCTGTCTCCCTAAAATTAAATTCCTATACAACTAACCTGCATCCTTGTTTACATTTTAAAACACGTATTTTCTCACGTCTGCCACAGAAGGAACCGCTTCCAGCTTATAAGAGCAGCAAACAATTAAAACAGGACGGGAGGATGGAGGTATCAGTTAGCAGAATAACTTATAGCTCCAGAGTAACCGCCCCATGTGGGACAATTATTCTAACACTCTTAGAAGTTTTGTTTTCACTTGTTTACTTTTAGTTGCTGTTTGATTGGGTTTAGAAAAAATATCACAGTTTGTAACCAGCTGGTTGGAAAGAAGCAACAATAAAATAGTTAAATAAATGCTACAGATCTGCAGATGTAAAACACATTTGTTATACGTCAGGAACGGGATTCCTGGTAAACACAGTTGCACAAGGAGACTTCTGCATGTGGAGGGGATGTGGGAGGATGAACCGCCAGCCCTGCCATTAGTGGACAACGCGCTGCCACCTGAACCTCAGACGTCCAGGACAGCTGTAGACTTGCATACGTTTCCCACACATGCACAAAAAAAACATCATGATGACTTTCTAAAAGCAACAACAAGACCTCCTTTGTTCATTGCGTTTGGTTAAACGACAAGAAAACCGTGACGGTCGGTGCAACTCCATAACAAGAATAGGCCCGGGGGATCTGGTATGCTGCACCGAACACGGGCCCAGTTTGTTTTCTGGTGGATGCACAGTCTGAGAGTTTGCCAAACAGATCATTTGGGTTTGCTTCACAGAGTTTGCAAGATGATGAAATGTGACATATCATCAGAAAGTCTCCTGATTCCTCCAGAAACCATCATCTCAGTCAGCGTTCTCCTCCTCTTCTAAAACAGCTGCTTCTTCTTCTTCATCTTCTTGAGGCATTCGTTGGGTTTCCTGAGCTGCATTTAGAGCGAGGACCACGTCAGCTGTGTTTGATGTTTCCTGGGACAACCAAGCCCCAAAACCTTTTATAGTGAAGGCTGAGCTGGAGTCCATGAGAAGCACCCTATCCAGAGAGCAGATACTAACTAAATCGAGGGACTAGTTTATTCAGCTGATTACTTTCAAACTTCACGCTGTAGCTCCACGCTACATGTCTGAACTCTAAATACCGTTTTCTGCCCCTCAAACCCTTTAATCTGAGAAGTCCCATGGCTAAAACAAAAGGGGACGATGCTTCAGCTTTGTTAGCCCCCAAACGAGCTCCTCTTAAGGATCAGAGCAGCTCCGTCACTTCCTCCTTTCCTCCTCTTGTGCAAGCATTTGTATAAAAACATATTTTATTCCTCACCCGATGCTCTGCTGCTGCTCTTTTTAGGGCTGCACTGTCTTTACTCATGTTTTATGGTTGTTTTCTAAAGCTTTGCATATTTTAATATTCTGTAAAACACCTCCAGCTTTGAGAGGTTATATAAAAATTATATATTATTATGTAACTTCAATACAAATGAATCAGATCCTTTAAGCCGCAACATTTTCTTTCATACGTCAAGAATATAAATTGGGAGTTTACAGTAAATGCCCTCCAGCAAAACGATATAACTCTAGGCCTTGTTTTATAAACTCTATCTTTTCTTTGTAGTACCACAAGGCCGGGTCCTGGATACAGTAGCTTCAATGAGCATGGTTTATCTATCTTTTCATGTACTCTACCATCACAGCTCCTTCTGTACGCGAGTACAAACGAGTCAAGGTTGCGCAACTTCTGAAAGCACACGACTTCCAATCGAGCCACAAAGAAAAGTAAAAAAAAGAAGATTCCACGGGAGCAATTTCTTCCACAGACGATTCTTACCTTTTCTTTGATTTTTTTTTCCAAGCATGTCATTGTGCAGTGGTGCAACTGAAATGATGCATTTTACCTCACGGAGTACAGGTGAGCAATAAAGACAACAACAAAAAACACGATGTAATTCTTGATTGGTCACAAGATCTACATTTCAATGACCGATGGGCTAATTGGTATGTTTATGTTGCACTATCTCTCCATTTCCATCTCCATTTCTGCTCCTCCCTCCGTCTACCCTCAACTCTTCCTTTATCTTACTGAGTCTCCTTCCTTGTCAAGGCGCAATTATTTGCAATTTGCCTAAGTCATCCATTTGCTGGGACACCAAGCATGAAAACGAGGCAATTTGGTGTAAAATGGAGGCAGGCGGGCGTCTGAGCATATGTATGTATGTGTGTGTGTGAGTGTGTGTGTGTGTGAGTGTGTGGACGAGGCAGGGGAAGGTCCAGGTGCTGGTGGGGGGCCATGTAAGGACTGTCTCGCAAAAGTGAAAATTAATGTCATGAACGCACACACAGCGACAAATCTGTGTGTGTGTGTGCATGTGTGTGTGTGTGTGTGTGCGTGAACCTACCAGTCTGCACACATGACGACATCAAAGTGACCCTCCAGCGCTGAAATATCCAGCTCACAGTCCCACCTCACCACCCTGTAACACACACACATAGAAAAGAAAGACCGCAAGTTTAGCATCTGCAGGAATGGCGACGGAAGACAAGCGGCGCCGATAAAAAACACCAAACCGAGGAAAAAGCTCTTTGTCCGTGTTTTTATTTTTCGTCCTTCGCTGCTTCTTTCGCCCCTCTCTCTCTCTCCCTGCTCTCTGTCACCTCTCTCCCTGACCCCCACTGTTTTTCTGCTTCAATAGAGACTCGGAGAAAGCGTCAGGGAGGGAAGACATGTCATCTGTGAGGTAAAGAGAGGGAGCTTCTGACATGACACTTGACATTTATACCATGTGAACACACACACACGTACACACAGACAGACACAAACAGAGCGGCCACCACCGTACAGGTTCCTTGTTTTTTTGGTTCCACTTTATAGACGTAACCAAGAAAGCTGTGCCTTAGAAATACAAGGATAATGAATCTGATAAGTACTTTTCAATCCTTTGCGCATTACAATAAACACTAAAAAATACAACACAAGAAAACACACATGATGGGGCAAGCTATTAGTTTATTTTATTTAAAGCTAAAAGAGGAGTCAAAGTGTTTCTAAGAGATAGAAGTTTCATGTGTTCTACTGCTTTTCCCAAACAATCACTGCACGTTAAACTGCAATACCAACGAGGGCCACATGGTGGTGTCTCCAAAACGTCTCTATCTCCAGCTTCTTGTATCAACTTCTATCCTGAAATACTAAGTTAGTAAGTAGTTTGCACAAGTCGTTATGATGTCATTAGCTAACATCACTCCTTCTGATCAGTGCGTTGGTGGTCTTCTTGAAAATAATTCCATATTTAGGTGGATATTAGGCCTCAAAGAGAAGCTTTGAAAGGTGTGAAAGGCTTGATTAAAGTGCCCAGTTTAGAGTCATTGGTCAGTTGTTTGGAGGCCAGGAGGGCTTTTCACCAGAGAGCTTGAGTCGCATGCAAGTTTTGATTCAGTTACTTCTGTCATAATTTAGTCAGCAATATGTTTCCAAGAGCAGTACGTTCACTTGTTTGTTTTTTCTTGAAGATTATTTTTCGGTGGTCTTTTTGGTCTTTATTGTACGGACGGTTGAAGAGAGAGAGGAAGGGTGAGCAACGCACAGCAAATCCATGCCATGGGTTGGAATCAAGCCCGGGCTGCTACGGTGGTGAGTTTCAACTTGTTCAACTTGAACCTAACTGAACCTAACTGTAGTGTAGGTGAGGAATGATGATTGTGTTGAAAAGAATGACGCTTAATCAACGTTTTGTCACCGGGTGCACAGTGGAACACCTGCATGCAATCGTGCCACAGCTCAGGTCGTTTACGTGAATGTTCTCCCTCAGATGCCTCAGGACGTTACCATAGAACTCTGCCATGGAAATGTTGAAGAAAACAATGAGCCTGTTTCTCATCTACTCCTCACCTTGTCTGGTTTTAGAGTGAAAACTGCAGTTTCCTCTTCTGATAGTAGCCACAGATCCATCTCTTATCACCAATAATGAACCATAACACAACGATATGGCTGCTGATTCACAGAATTTAAAGTTTTCTTCTCTGCTCCAGTTTGCAGTCCGTGATGTGTTCACTCGCACTATGGCCAGCCCCAGAACTTTTTGATCGACTCTCATATTTTAAAGGCCCTGAATCCAACCAAAGACTTTAATTTAGGGGCGGCTGTGGCTCAGGTGGTAGAGCAGGTTGTCCTCCAATCGTAAGGTTGACGGTTTGATCTCCTGCCCCTCCACAGTCGAAGTGGGCAAGACACTGAATCCAAAGTTGCTCCCAATGGCAGGCAGCACCTTGCATGGCAGCTCTGTCGCCATTGGTGACAGTTGGATAAAAGCGCTATATAAGTGCAGACCATTTACCATTAATTTGCTTGCTGTGTACATTTTTATATACAACATATGGTTTTGTTGTTCTTGCTATTCGTGCAGGAAATGTTCAGTCCCTGTGTCTTTCTGGTCTCTGGGTTTCTCTGTTTCCACCAGTCTCACTCAGTCTGTATTTCATTCCTGTGTTTCTCAGCTCCTGGCCACTCATCGTGCTCAGACAATCTGAAACGAGCCGAACTGCTTTGAAGTTCACTTCAAGTTGTTTGTAGCAGGTTGCTAGTGTTGTTCTTTCTTGCTACGATTCGGCTCTAGACGGTGTAAGGGCTGTGCTGGAAGAGCCCAGCTTTCCTCTCCATCTATTTTTCCACACCATTTTCCCCTTCCTCTCTTTCACACTGTCAGGCAGATTGGGGGATTATTAATTAGGCATTATTAACACTCAGTAAACAAAACATTAGGCCCCGCTAGAAACACAATCTCGATTCGCAGCAGGAGGCCGCAACGCGCACGCACACATCCGCATGAATGTGCACACACCATCACGCGACATGCCCCTCCCCATCCATCCCCTTGTACAATCGCATCATGGCCTTCGCCCTCTCTTGCAGCGCAGAGATGACAGCAGGCATAATCTGAAAAGAAAACAATCAAAGTAATGTAGCCTAATTATACGTTTGCTTTTTCACTCCATCTTCCACTCATGTAAATATGCGCAGGAGCGAGAGACAGAGAGAAGAGGTAGGGGAGCAAAACAGTCAGTCAATGGGAAGGAAAAAAAAAAGGCTTTTTGAGACGGGGACAACAATTAACGATGTTGTAGCCCCTCCTTGCATATGAGGTGTGAGTCTGTATGTGTGTGTGGGTGTCGTGGAAAGTTCTCCCGATGCTTTCTGGATGAAATATCCCTATCAAAGGGGGCCATTTGTCTCTGATTATCCTGCACGCATGAACGTATATACCCTTGAAGAATGGATATCACAGTATGTAGCTGACAACATTTGAGCCTTTTTGTCATCCATCAAAATAAAAGCGATAAAAAAATGATCAACAATTGATTTAAAATGAAAAATCTGACATATAATAATGTTTTAAGTTACATTTGTATATCTAAAATGAGAAATTCATACAACACAAAGGTATAAATGTGTGTGTTATCCATCTGAAGTTGGTCCAGAATCCTCACTTACAGATATTTGACGACACCACAAATTGAATAAAACTGTTTCCCGTGTTTATCGTCTGAAAATGTCAGCCAGTGATTTAGCCAAATCCTGCTCAGGAACTCATGTCAGGATGATTTTAGCATCTAAAGTGCTAAACTAAAACATTTTGCTTGTGATTACAATGAGGTTTTTAAATGATAACAAAAAAAAAATCACACAGTAGATGACAATTTGGCATTTAGAGATATCATAAGTTCTTAAAATGTAGAAATAGGCGTAGAATACATTATACATTACAACATGAGCCTGTTGTTGACTGCAGCATCTTCCACTCCACTGCAGTACTTCACTCTCAGACTGTACAGAGCAGAAAAACATTTCTCTTACTTACTATGTACGAAAAAATAAAGTGTCCAGGTAGTGTAAAGTCACTCTGGGTAAAAACATCCACGGCAGCACACAGTATGTTATGCTTAGAGGCCGGCCTGCATTACACACGATGAGGACTCCAATCAAAGGGAGCACTTTTCAGAAATATTTCAGGCACTTCCAGCTTGATATTTGAACACTGCAACGACATTTGCGCTGTCCACTCTTCCGTCTGACTGCTGTCAAAAAAAGAACCACAGCCAAAGTCGTATTTTTCCACCAAGAACTTTAAAAAAAAAAAAAAAAAAAAAAGTTGGTCTCACCTGGACGATACACGTGTTGATCCGAACTTTCCAGCTTGCCTGTTTGTCTCAACCAGCCGTCGAACGTCTGGTGTTCCAGAGTCAAAGATTCATCATGGATATTACATGCTCAGCTGTAGGAGCACGCTTAAAGGTGCCATGCATACTGTAGATTTTTAATAATGTTCCTGGTACATAAGAACTTCCAGAATTAGGACTCTAGTGGAAAAGTAAGCATGAGCAAAATGGGAAAATTTTAATAAAAGTAACGCTGAATAAACCAACGTTGGCCAGGATAGTCTCCTTCTGATACAAAAACAAACTTTTGCTAGCAGAAAAATATTAAAATTACACATAGAGTCAATTTTATATACCTTTAATTTTGGCACCAAGCTTCCTTTGACATGTAGGACAAACCAATGAGGATTTGGTGCTGAAAAGTCACCGTTACCTCACAAAATTTGGTTTTGTTTGGCCTTTACTGTTTGGTTTTGTGTTGCTGTATTATCTTCTGTGCATCCTGCTTTTGTAATGTCTATCAAAGCACTTCATAAACCCTTGTTTTTAAAAAATCCAATATTATTAGAACTTACAAATTTTGTGTCCTATAGAATCAGTTTTTTTGGCAAACCATAAAAATGCCGAATATATTTTTATTAAATTCCATCAAAATCTTCAGTATACAAATTATATGAGTCTATAGATGGGGAAAAAAAGCATCTGGACTGGGTGGTGGAGGCACACAACCACGAGGCAATAATTCTTTTTAAATGCAAATATCAAAACATTCGTGCTCCAACTAATCAGGAGTTTCAAACTGCTGACCATCCGATTAAAGATGCTCAGTTTAAGGTTTCTGGAGTGGTTGCAAAAGAGCTACAACAAGAAACACCAAATCTAAGTAAAGTCCTGTGTAGGTAAGAGCACATATGGGTAACACCCCCGTAGAGGAGGCATGAGTGAGCAGAGATGATCTCCGGGGACAGAGAGCCGGTCTGTAGAAGCAGATCACAGCAGACTGTGGTTGGATCAATGGGAAGGCTTTTAACCACAGATACAAAAACTCACACTGTCCCTCTCGCATGCACACACACACACAGACACACACAGATGAATACACACAAAGGCAGGGTGATTGATGTCAAGTTGTCTATTAATACACTGGCTTGTGGAGTTGCAAAGCAATTCAATTAGGATTTCCTTGTCTTTAAAGCCCGCAAAGAGCTGAGACAAATCCAATCGACAAAGACAGAGAGCGAGCGAGCGAGCGAGCGAGATAGAGACAGAGAGCAGGAATGCGTGATAAGTTGATGGACGCATTGATAGCCGCAGAGCCGATCCAAAATCAAAGAGGCCTCGCAGACACGGATACACAATAATATGTAGGTTAGCACACTTTGATGTAAACGCACGACACGCGCCGGACACCTGTGCTCCAGTGTGTTATGCATAGGGATGACAGGCCGAAGAGCAGAGCAGCTTACTGTAATCTCATCACCAGCACACCACTGGGGTAGAGGTCAGCACACACACACACACACACACACACACTGCTTCGAAACACACACAAAGAAATAAAGAGGGGGGAAAAAAGAGAAAGCGAGAGGCAGAGATTTGACTATTATTGGACATTAAAGTGGAAGAATATTTGTCACTTGAAGTAGACAAGCAGCAGCCAATGACATGCATCAATCATTCTTAATGGAACATTTCAATTGATTTTCAACATGAGTATTCAAGGTCACAGCAACAGAGTCTCTCCTCTCCACGGTGTGCGTTTTCTGCACTTCGAATGAGGTCAACTGCTTCTAAGGAAAAAGAGGAAGGGGGAAAAAAAAAAAAAATCAACTCCCCGGATCTATCGAAATGTCATCTGTTCACAACTTCTTTCCTGCATATCTTCTCATCTATTTCACTGTATAAAACCGAACCCTATCACGGCTCGCTATCTCTTTCTATTCTAACACTGGCTGCTGCACAATAAGGCCATGTGAGATAAACAGCAGACATTAGCGCGAGGATAAGACCAACAGCTTCCGCGGCAAGAGGAAATACCACACAGTGTCTGCAGTGTGTGAATGGGCCAATTTGGCAGAGCCCAGAACGAATTATGCGTCTTTCTCAACCCTCCCTTTTCTTTCTGTGTGTGTTCGATCCATTCTCGCTATGATTTCACTTACAATTCTCCCTATGTGTTTGTTCTGAGAAACAAAGCGGTCGGTCAATGGCGTATTGTTTGTGTGCCCGACTGTGTGTGTGCATTTTACAGGCTCCATAATGTTATTGTTTGGTCTTATTGTGATCAGTAAAGGAGCATTGTAGACGGCTGAGACAGAGATATTGTAAGCAGAGCTAAATATGGAAGTGCCACATCGGTCAATGGGGAAGAAATGTGTATTTATATTTCCTGCTTTTGTGAAACAACTGTAGCAAGTCAGAGCTTCTCCTTGTGTTTTTTTTTTCTTAGCTGTTCAGCGAATAAAGCTGAGATCTCAGAGGATGGAAGAAAAAAAAAAATGACAAGCATGATGAAAGGAGATGGAAGTGAAAGAGAGAGGAAAACAAGAGGCTACAAAGGAGATCAGACAGGGAGAAGTGTAAAATGGGTAGCAGGAGGAGAAAAAAAAAAAAGGAGCAATATGGTTTGCAAACTGACAGAGTTGATCAATAACCCACTCAAAGAACAAATGTCGGCAAAAAAAAAAAAAAAAAAATCTCACCTAAAGATTTGTCCTAAAAACTTAATTATAGGCCTAAACCTTAACCACGCACAAAAACATTTTAAACAAACCTTGATTGTTCCTGCTTCTAAAACACTCATCAAGCCCTAACCCTAGCCTTAGTATTAGATGAAGTCTCAAGCAAAATTCTGACAGGATGGCAATTACTGTGCTCTTAACTTGGCATTGTGGGCAGCTAGGATTGGTAGATGCCATGTTGAGCGCTACTGGCTGGGTATTTGTCACTGTGGGTGCCCCATCTACTGCATTTGCCTAAAGAATAAAGAGGTGGACGGCTATTTCTTTTTTTTTTTTTTGAACCAAACTCCAATGTCGGATTTTAAGGCTGGAAGGTTACAAAAAACAGCCTCTACTTTCTGTTCTGCCTCCAAAATGTCACTGTATAGCTCCTAATACGTCACATAAGAAATGAATCCTGATCACACAGCATGGACTAGATTTAGACACTGGCATATTTATTAGCATTAATAATGGTTTGGATTGCAGCGTCCTAATTAAGACGTTTAATTGGCAACAACAACCGATGATTTCATGACTGTTTAAGCACGAGACGAGGATATTACTACCTAATGGGCTGCGATTGTTTTACTGCTGGATGTACATTCGGTTGGCATTGTATTGGATATGCAGTCAAATAGAGCAATATTGAAGCAAAATCCTCCCCTTATGAAGGTTAAAACTGTTGAAGAGAGGTGTTGAGTCAACTTGATGGTCATTTTGGAGGAAGTAATGTTTGTTATTTATTCTACTGTTGTGAAAGAAATGATAAGTTGTGATAACTTCTGATCATTGCAATAGGGATTTGAGGGCTTATTAATAGAATGACAGTGAACACAAAACTGTTGACGAGGCCCTGACAAGTGTAATTTGTGGAATTCTTCTTGAACATACTGGAGTCTAAACTCCAGATGTTGACAAAGGAGCTGCTTCAGACTGTAACGTCTTTCACCATGAGGGCCTAAAGTGTGTAGTTTTACCTGTATTTACACACACACATGCGATGCCGTGGTCAGCTGTCACCCAAAATATATTAGAATTTAATATTCCTGCAAACAAGTCAACCTGCAAGTAATAAACGTATAAATAAGTAAATAAAAAGATGTCTTTCACACAAGCTTCATGGACGTAAACAGAGCAATAACTGTAAAAATGTTATATTAAATTAAAAGCATCCAATTTACATGTGAAGTAAAAACTTAATTTTGCTAAATTGATGTACAAATATCAGAAAAACCTCATACATATATGTATATCGGGTGATCATGTGAATTAATCGTATCACATCAATCAAGTCACGTGTGATTTCTCTCCACCGGAACGCACAACAATTTGTCGACTTGAAAGCCCGACGGAAAAGACAAAAGTATTCACAGAAACAAATCCAGATAAATAAACGTGAGCCGGGGGGAGGCGGGGTGGGAGGAATGAGGCCGAGATGGAGAGATAGACAGGAAGAGAGGGAGAGAGGACGATGAAAGGATACTCTGAATGGACTTCTCATTCCCATCTGATAGCAGAACTTCCTTCACGTCAGCACAAATGGCAACCTGAGAGACAGGAAAGAGACATGAGAAATGAAACAACACAGGAACAAAAGAACAAAACGCAAAAGCACTCTTAGATGAAGCAAACATCTGAACGCACACACACACACACACACACACACACACACACACTCACACACACTATAATGACATAACCATATCTACAAAGCTTCACTCTTGGCAGCCCGGCCCGCCCCGCCCTTTCTCACCATTGCTCCCTCTCCTCCCTGCCATTTCCCTCTCTATCTTCACCCCATTTTTATGTCTGCATTATTTTAATCATTCAATCAAATCAGTCAATACTTTTATCATTGTGGCTAGCGGTGGGGGCTGCTATCTTGCTATCACTCTGTTCAGTAATTGCATTGTGACAGGGGATGATGGCAAGCGCAGAGCCTTTTCATTTGACGCTGGGTGTTTATCAGGCCGAGCCATCACTCCGTTCGCCGCTGTCACTCTGCACTCGGCTCACCAGGCCTGCCTGATGCCCTTCATATAACTTTGCGGCGTAGACTGCGAGAGACGGAGGGAGAAAGAGAGGGAGGGAGACGGGAGAATGGAAAGAAAGCTTTTGCGCTGCGTGTCTCCGTGCGGAGGGAGATATAGATAGAGAGGTGTGTGCTTTACTATAACCTCATCTTTTCACCGTCTCTTTTCTTTGCAGATGCTGTTTTATATCAGCAAGTGTGTGTCAGACTGTCAATTTCTGTTAAGGACCGTGCATGTGCGCACATTCACGCGAACGAGCGCGAGTGCAAGTGGTTATTGTGCTGGTGTGTCCGCCTGAATCGTCCTAAACGGCTTATTCAATGCTGTATTGACTCAAATGGCGTATGGAAAATACACGGTGTGGAATATAAAGACAAACAGAACGCAGACATATGCTTGTACCCGCGCAGGCAAACACACACATGTTCAGACCCTGGAGGGTGTGTGTGTGAAGGGGTCACCGAGTGCTGTGTGTGTCCCACCATCTGCTTAAATGGAGGATGGGACCTCCAGGCTCAACCGGAGCATCCAGCTGAAAGATTAAGAGCTCAACCTGGCAATCCATGAGCAGCATCCTGTCACCTGCCACCACCGCTGGGTTATAAAACAGTCATTCCTGCACTTATTCTGTATGTTGGTATGGAGAAAGTATTCCAATACTGACTCTTACCCCAGATGTTTTACATGTTTTAGCAGCAGAAGAGCTCATTATCAAAGTAAGCTGTCACTTTAACGCGCTAAGTTAAACTGAAATACCGTTGAGTGTCTGAGAATTTCTTTTCCAAGTGTAGCAGGGTTTGCTAATCAGAGCTAATCACACGATATTGTTGAGAATTATTTACACTCAAATTTTGGAGTGTCTGTTCCAAATGTCTTCGCAATCTGTCCAAACAGTTGTCGAGACATTTGAGGCCAAATCAGAAACTTCAGAGGATCAACAAAGTTGCTCAAATGCATCATCCTGTGCGTCGTTTTACCTGTCGGTGGTGGAAGATGTTTGGAAGAAAGACAGTCAGATGGACATCAGAGTTATCAAAGCAGAATGGACATCAGGGGTAGAAAGGTTTTAAGAAGGATTAAGAGGTGGCGTGAATACGACAACCAAGAGCATCCTAATTACACTTACTTGGGGTTGATGCTACATTTGAAGCATTGTCAGGTCAGGTTTGTAATTATAAAAGCACTTTTTCCTGATTTCTATGCAGACATACTTCGATTATCGAACTATAATGCAATGTTCCGCTGGGAAACCTCATTCATGCTATTTTGACATGTAATACCCAACATGGTATTGTTCCAGAGCAAGAAACCATCTTTACATGCAAGTCCAAATGCTGCACAGGAAATAGTTTAGAGCACAAGTTTAATTAACAATAAGTTACAAGACAACAAGAGCGATAATACAATAATAAGAATTGACTGAGTTGAAATAAATAAATAAACAACACAAGATAAAAACCAGAATAAAATGATGATTTGTAAGTATCAACGATATTCACATCCTCTGACCCTCTCCCGTCCTTCAGCAGGCCGGTCCAGAGGCTAAAATCTAAAATCAGTCCAGCTTTTGGGTCTCAGACCAGATCATGTCAGACAGGCAGTCAGGACCGAGACCATTTAGAGATTTGAAGATCAATAAAAGAATCTTAAAATCAATTCCAAAGCTAGCTGCCATTTTTAAACAAGTGCAATATGTGCACTTCCCAGGTCCAGTTCATCACAAGACCAGGTTGATCTTTGGCTTTTGTTTTTTTTTTTTTTGAAATTGAACAAAAAGTAGAGCAAAGTCAAGCCTGCTAGTGATACGAGCGATGCCACGCTGCAAAAACTGTTCAGGGACGGTGCATGACAAAGAGTCCGAATGATGAGTCAGCCTATAAAGGTCCCAGGTCCCACACCAATCCAGAATCTGTGGGACGCACAACAACAAGTTCGATCCACAAAAGCCCGACCTGCAACCCTCAGAACCCAAATGATCGATACCAACATACCCGTGCAAGACAACACAAGACACCGCCGGGGGTCGGAATTGTTTTTGTGGCACAAGGAGGAGCGACAAGATATGAAGAAGATGTTTTTTACTGTTGTCTGGTTGTGTGTTTGTGAGGGACAACACTGACACGGTCATAAGATCCTTTGAAAAGATGCACTGAATCTAAATATATGTGTATTATTTCTGTGTGTTCTGACTTGACAGATTTGTGACTCTAAAATGGGATCAAATATTTGACACAAATCATATCAACTGGATGCTAAGAGCTGCTTCTACTGTAGCTCCAACTGCTCAAAGTGGTGGTAAGTGTCCAAAATAAAACTGTACCAACTAACTTCACCTGAATGTTATGCACCTGCCTCTTTCCCCTCATGCAGGATTTCATTTCCTCTTTCTACGTCACCATGTGTTTTAAAAATGAAATCTAATGTCATGTTAAATTCTTCGGCACACTTTACCAGGACGCCACTGGGGTAAGTGGAATAAACAAATAATGAGAGGAAATCAGGGTGTGCAAATTTACATACGTTAGAAAGCAAAATAAAGACTTAAGGAGGGGACAAAACGCAGAGAGGACGGGAAGCATGAAATGCAACGACTACAGCAACATTTAATGACGTGCTCATGTGGACAACAGAGAAAATGTGGCGAATGTGGTGTCAGTGACGGATGAAGGAGGGAGGAGGAGAAGGAGAGGTGTGAAGGAAGGATTCCATCTCCAGCCACCAATGTCAAAACATGGTGTATTGACTGCCAAGAGATAAAACGCACACACATGCACACACACACACAGAATGGCATCAAACAGATCGATGGGACACTGACGCCTGCTATGTGGAGGGGCCCTTAAGACCCTGGCTAATAAACCCTATGGCTGACAGACTGCAGTATATCTGAGTGTGTGTGTGTGTGTGTGTGTGTGTGTGTGTGTGAAACATACCAGCTCTGGGCTGCTGGTAAGAAACCGGCTTGTTTTTAAAGCTTGATGTTGCTGCTTGTGTCACAGAGTGGTTTTGTGTTTGTGAACAAACGTCTATCTATCTATCTATCTATCTATCTATCTATCTATCTATCTATCTATCTATCTATCTATCTATCTATCTATCTATCTATCTATACTATATTTTCTATTATACTGGTTTTCATACAGGCCTGATCGGGGTCTTTCTGTGTGGTGTTTGCATTTTCCTTTGACCCCCCCATGTCAGTGTTGGCTGCTCCAGGCCCAAACACATGCACGATAGGTTAATTGGTGGATGTGGGTCTTTGTGTTAGCCTTGCAAATAACTTATTCAGGTTGTACTCCACCTTTAGCCCAATGTCTGCTTTGACAGGTTTCCACCTGCTGCGACCCTCCACAAGGTAAAGCAGGTGAATAGATGGATGGCTTTCATACAGTCTAATGTGAGGGCACTTCCCTCTATAGTGAGTCAAATTTAGGACTGCACTGACTAAATATTTTCTCTTACCAGTGAATTCACCTAAATCACACTTTTTTTTTTTTTTTTTGCTTAAAGCTATAGTAGGCAGAAATCTGGAGAAGAAAAAAAAATCCTCTTCACTCTCTTCACCACCAGACAAGCACAATAATCGAGCATGATTTGGGGCTTCAGCCAGAATTCACTCTCCCAAGTAAAAATCCTCTGTCTAATCCAAATCCTGTTCTCACCGGCAAAGCTGTAGCGATTTTATACTATCTCCTACGATCGGCGAAAAGCCCTGCGATTGGCTGAAATCTCCCGTCAGAGTTTCTGAAACCTGAAAACGGACCCAGGAGCAGGTGCAGAGGGCTGGTTTCCGCTCAGACCGCTCAAATCCTCGCGGTGGGCAAGGACGCTACGAGCTAAGTCTTAAGGCGAAGAACTTCTAATTTAAGCCAGTTAGACGCTCACTAGACACATAAAATGTTCTAAAGATGAACTTAAATATGCCATGCAAGTAAAGAGTTTGCATGCATATACTTGTGAAGGTATGCAAATACACACACACACACACACACACACACACACACACATAGAGGCACACAACAAGCGAATGATAGTGTTTGAATAGGTATGGATACTTGGTGGCCATGCTGTGTGCGTATTGATCGATGAGGGTTAGTTTTATTAGAGGAGCCATTTCTCCTGCAGAAATCTGTGTCAGTGTGTGTGTGTGTGTGTGTGCGCATGTGTGTGTGTGTGTCACTTACCATGAGCCCACCTAGACAAGTCATACCTCCTCCTAACTCACACACTGCACCCCTGAGAGTCAGAGAGGGAGACAGAGACAAGTGGGAGTGAGATTCACTTTGCTGAGCCAAACCTAGCAGTTTAGTACTAACACACACACACACACACACACACACACTTGGTCACATACTGTACAGTAGATGTGCACACGTACTATCATACAAACACACACACACACACAGTAAACACAGCAGGGTAAGAAATATCAATTCAACCATCAACCTGAAAGCTGAATACTGAACATTGAGAAGCACAAGCTCAATCAGCGGGAAATCTGAGGAACACACACACCAACACACACCAACACACACACACACACAGAGAGTCCTGTAGCTTGCGTGCTCATTCAACCCCTCTCTCTCTCTCCATCCTCTTCCTCCTTTCATCTTCCCTTCCCCTCCATCTCCAGCCCTGTCCTCTTTCATCCCTCCCTGCCTCCCTCCCTCCCTCGCTGACCTTCACTACGGCGCTCTGATCAATACCCCCTCTCTTCCTCGCCTCCCGCCTCTTGAATGTTAAAACAGGAAATCAAAGGGTGACGTTCCACCTTGAGTGGAAATCAAAAGTGCCTGGGTGCTTTTCAGCCCCGTGCCACAGGGCAGGCCAACGCTCAGCAGACAAGAGCAGGGGAAAGAGCAGCCCAGAACAACACAGCGTGGCATGGAAAGGTACAGGCTGACACGAGCGCCGAGCGTTTACTGCAGCCGGGCCCGGGCGGATTTAAATTAGAGGGAATTTCAAGAAAGTGGCAGCAGGTTTTTATGAACTTGAAATACTGTATTCCCAAAAATGTAAATTTAAAAATGTAAATCAAGCATTAAAGGAAAAAAAAAAAACCTGATATATTCGGCTGCAATAAAGGTGTTATTATTTCCAAGGATGCTGCTACTTTACTTCTCTCCGCCTTCTTCCTGGTAATTTGTGTTTTCAATTTCCTCCTTAATTCTACTGGAGGGGGAAATATTTTTTAAGTGAGCCGCCTTTCTCCACCGTAGTCTCAACAAACATTTCAATAAGTTTGCTCGGAAAGAATGACGGCCTTCTTTCTGTATTTTTTTTAAAAAAATAGTCGAGAGAGGGCCATTACACGCTGCCAAACATCTCCCTGAATGTCTCATTTGTTCACAATAAAGAAAATGTTTGGATGCTTAAGCGGTAAACTGATGTCAAACTGCTGCAGAAAATGAAAAAGTGCCACATCTATATGGAAAACCTGAGTCAGATTACACCGTACCATGCATTGCTAAGCAGAAAGAAGTTTAACTATATGACATTTGGATCTTCACGTCATTAATCGTTCAGGCTTGTCTTCTGGTGACGAGCAGGTTCGAAGAGGCGAACAACTCACTTGAACATGTGACGTTTCCGCAGACAGTAATGCGCCATCACCTCCTCAGACGGCCACACACCTAAAAGTCAGAGAGAGAGAG